TGGGTGGGAATGATCCTCACTGTAAAGATTTGTTCCCTCTTTTGAGCTACTGCATCTGTAGATGTAGGTCAAGTTCATCAAATTGTATCAGATGACGCTTCTTTTCTTCTTTCTTCTAGTTGAGTTCTGATCATCCAGTCATTGAAGCCAGGTCAAGTGGGTATTATCTGTTTAAGTGTGGGTGTTCTTATGCATATGCCCTCTCTGCTTATCAGCTGGACACTTCACTTTCCACTCTAGTCCTCTGTGACTATGTCACTGACTCTGGGCCCAGGAGTCTCCCAGGTCTTGTCACACTGCTGGCCAGCTAGGTCTCCACCCGGGTTCACAGGAGTCTATGGAATGTGCTAGGGCTTAGCTCACAGCTTCATTGCTGTTTTTCCCTCACTTCCCCTCATCGGCGGCCAATGTGGTCACCAGTCAGAGTGCATGTCTGCTCCTGTATTCCCATTGAGTCTTAGTCTTGGATCGTTATCCTCATTTCTAAAGAACATTCTGGATGTGTTTCTTCTGTTAAAAAAACACGACAGCCAACTATCCCTCACATAACACTTCCTGCTTCTCTATTGGGTTCCCCATTGCAGTGGCCACACTGCCCGCAGACACCATCCTCACAGTAATGGGGTTTATTAGGAAATTTACCAGGTTGTATACAGGATCAGAAAATGCTCAGGGCACAGATGTTGGAGTCAGCTGCTGATAAATGCCCACAGCACACACCTTTCCACTGTAAGCCTCAGCCTGAAGGCCCTCAGCTCTAGCTCTGTGAGTCAGCAAACCTGGCTCCCCCACTTCAGTGCCGGGAGGCACCCCACTCTACAAGCAAGCCTCCTGCCCACAGTCAGTCAGCTGACTTGCATCCTGCACCTGAGAAGGCTCATTTTAGACCCGTGCTAGAGGCTCAAGTTTTCACAATTACAGTGACCTCTGCTAACATCCACAGCTGCATCTTGTCATCCCATCAGTATTTTCTCCCACCTCGTTTTACCCAGACCAGCAGGATAGAAACGTTGTTTTATGGAAATTACAGACTATAGCTACGAGAGATGTTAGGGGATTCACTGTACTGCATCTTCCAAGATAGAGTTGTTTGTTCTTCTGGCCGTCCACGGTGTCTTCGGCATTCGTCCCAAACACCGCAATTCAGACGGGTCAGTTCTCCTCCCATTCTTATTTATGCTCCTGCTTTCCCAGACACAGGCTGCTTGGGTCATGTACAGGTGCACCTTAGTCCTCAAAATCGCCCGTGTGCTTTTGAGCGCTTCCAGAGGTCCTGTGCAGCATCCCTGTCCAGTGCGAGCGTGTCCTTCCGTTTCCTAACTGCTGCTGCTGCTGTGGCGTTGGTTGTGGATCTCAGGAAAATGCCATCCCTGGACAGGTTTAACCTTGTCTCCATTTACATGATGATGCTTATGGGTCCAGTGACGGGGCCTTTGTGTTCTGTGTGTTGAGGTGTGCTCCATGCTGAAGGCTGTGGTCTTTGACAAGTCCTCGTCAGGTTCAGCAAGCAGGCTGCTGGTACCTGCTGTTGCAGGCTGTTAGTGAGCTGCTTTCTGGCCCTGATGCGGTGCTCTTCAGAGACTCCAGCTCTGAATTCTGTGCTCAGTATACAGTTTGAATAAGTGTGGTAAAGGGACATAACGTGACACATGCCTTTGCCTCTGCCTCTGTTTGAACGATTATCTCTTGATTCTAAAGCTCACATGGAAGAGTAGATGAGCTGTAATAGGCCAGCAGTTCTGAAGAATGAGAAAGCAGTGGAGGCTTGTTCTTGCCAGTGTTAACATCATTTTCATGTGTTCCTTTCCCTGTAACTAGACCCTAATGAACAACTGAGAAGGAGTCCTGGTGGCACAGCAGGTTTAGCACTGGATTGCTAATTGCAAGGTTGTTAGTTCAAGCCCACCAGCTGCTCCTTAGGAGAATGATGAGGCTGTCTGCTCCCATGAAGAGTTACAACCCAGGAAGCCCTGTACAGGTTCGCTGAGTCAAAATCAACTCCATGGCAGAGGGTTTGGTTTTGGTCTTAGATAAATGGACATATGGAAATTTGGAGAATATAGAAATATCCAAACTTGGGACTGTAGGATCACACGATGAAGTGACAAGAGTATTCCATAAATGGTTTTGTTGTTGTTGTTAAGTACCGTGGAATCGGTTCTGACCCACAGTGATCTGAGGCCGTAGATCTTTACGGGAGCACAATGCCTCATCTTTCTCTCGCGGAACAGCTGGTAGTTTCGAACTTCTGATCTTGAGATTGGCAGCCCAACTCATAATCACTACGCTATCAGAGCTCCTTATGAATAGCCATATAGAAAATAATAGTTCAAATTTAATTTCATACCATTTATTATTGTTAAGTGCCATTGAGTCAGTTCTGACTCATAGTGACCCCTGTATGGGGTTTCCCAGGAACAACTGGTGAATTCAAATGCCGACCTTGCTGTTCAGTGCTTATCCTACAGCATCACACCAGGACTCTACACATAAGAATAAATTACCGATGGAATCAAGACCAAAATCTGAAAAGCAAATATTAAGTGTTTCATTTGCAAATATATATCATCTTTACAACCTCAGCAAAAGAAAACCTCTTAAGAGAGGTATGAAGAAAACACCATGCCATATGGAAGTTTGATGTGTTCTATTACATTAAAATGAAAATGAAAAACTTGCGTGTATCATCAAGACACTAGATATGTTATGGGGACAAGTACAGACTAAGGCATGCCGTGTGTGAAGTGGACAAAAGTTGAGTGTGGAGCATTTATAAAGAAGTAAAAAAAAAGACAAGAAGAGCTCAATTGAAAACGGCAGCAGTTCAGTTTTCAAGAACTGGCATCTTGTGCACAAAGAGGTGTGTACACGACGTGCCCCTTGTCACCGAGTAGCGGCATGAACGACTGAGCTGTGTCTGGCGGCTGCTGTAGTCTGATCACACAGGACATCTCAGACAGCAGAGAGAAGGGGACAGCGGCGCCAGAGACTCCAGAAGAGCGTGCAGTGGAGCGTGGCTCTCCGGGTCAGTGTGTCAGGTGACTGGGTGGGACCCGTGGCTACGGAAGTCTCCCTGCCTCTGCTCAGCTTCCTGTGTCTTCTTGTCTTCTCTGTGGAACATTTTCTTCATGCCTCTTCTCTCATCACACTTAGTGCCGTGTGTTTCACGTTGTTCCTGTGGACTTGACTGGACCCTCAGGTGTCCCTTCAGTCAGTTTCCCTCTCTGCAGCTGCTCCCATGTCCCTGCTCCCCCCTTCCTAGGGACTCACCCCCACCACTCCTGGACCTGGAGTGAAAAAGGCAGGATTTGTGGTCAGATAAAAGGGTTTGACTTTGGGACTCGATTTAGAAAGGAGCTCTGGTAGCACATTGGGTTACACATTGGCCTGGGAACTGAAAAGCCTGTGCTGCAGACCCGTCATCCACTCTGCAGGAGAATGACAAGGTGTTCTGAGTCTGTAAGGATTTACAGCCACAGAAACCCTGTGAAAACCCTGTGTGTGTATGTATGTATGTGTGTGTGTGTGTATGTGGGGACGGCGGCAGTTCTCTTCCATCCTGGAGGGTCGCTGTGAGTCACAATCGACTTGGCGGCAGTAGGTTTAGCATTGTTTCTGGGGCTCCTTCTCCATTGGTGTGACACCCATGTATCGACCAGCTCGATGTGGTTTGTGCTGTGCTCTGGATGAGATGGCAAGAGAAAGTGGTGGTCTCTGATGGACACAAGGGCATTAGGGGTCCGCTAGAGCAGTGGTCTCAGGGAGGTGGCTTTCCCTTCACTCTTGGATTCCTGGTGGGTTTCCAACGGTGTGTCCTTCATGTTCTCAAGAGTGACGTGTTCGCTGGTACTTATTGAGGGGTGTAATTCAGATGTTGCTTACTTTTTTCCAGAATTTAAACAAGCAAGCGTATGACTTGGCGAAGGCTTTACTGAAGAGGACTGCGCAAGCTATTGAACCTTACATTACCAATGTGAGTCTGTGCCGCTGCTTGTCAGAAGCAAACTTTTTTTAAAAAAAGTTTTTATTATAAATTGACTGATAGTTTACATGGGAGAACATCGGTTTTACACTCTTCATGTCCTATTTCGTTCATTGCAATGATTACAATCCCCTCCGTGCATCATCATTCAGTAGTATTTGCTTCTAGTTCCTCTGGTTTATTATTTTTTTTGAATGTACACAAAAACACTCAGGGATATATAATCATTTAAATATCCAAAGGGCACATTCTGCAAGCCTGCCTCCTGGCTGCCAGCACATAGCCTTTCTCTTTCCATGAGTCCAGAGTCCTCAGCTGCTTCCTCTCTCCATATCCCCATCTCTGCCTCCATCTCTGGTGTCACTGTTTCAGAAACCAGCTTTTAAAGACAACCAACTAGAGGCAAAATGTCGGCAAGTAGTGTATACTTCAGAAATTTAGTACTGTTGTAATCACTAAGTAATGTGTCTTCTTTTCTCCCTCTTACTTGATTAGTATTTTCTGGTGGTTTAGCTTGTGTTCTGTTGAATTGCTGCTCGGCTTCTTTCAAGTGGTGCTGGGACTCAGCTTGAGCTTTGCTTTTGGTTAGAAGAGTGGCTGTTTGTATCTAATATTAGAAAGTTAAATGTGATCAGATAAAACATATGCCGTGTCTCCGTATTCAGAGTACTTGCTTCCAGCTTTTTGGAAAGGAAATTGAATTGTATAAGAAGATATGAGCTAACATCAAGACCTAGAGATTGACTGCAAGTTTGAATAGTAGTGGAGCCCTGGTGTGGCGCTGTAGGATCAGCACTGGACTGCTCACCACAAGGTGGCAGTTCAAACTCACCAGCCACTCCTCAGAAACCCTCTACAGGGTCACTATGAGTCAGAACCAACTCGACAGGATACTTGACAACAACAACAGGAATAGTGGTTGTGGGGAAAGATGATTTAGCTGTTGACATCTCTGTGGGAGACAGACTGTGTATAAATCTGCCTCTTTTTTATTTGAAAAAGAGAAAAGAATCGCAGTGCAGTGAGCCTCCCTAGATCACCCCAGCCCTGTCTTTGTGACTGGCCATGTGGTGTTTGTTCTTAGAGATGCTCCTGGCCACTGGGTCCACTAGCAGAAGGTTGTTGGCGGCTCTCTCTGGTTTTGCAGTCTGCTGGCTCCAGGGGCCTTGGCCCCGCTGTCCTCCATGAAGGCACCCCCTTCCCCAACATAAATGCCCTGGGAATGGTGCAGCTACTCAGGTTTTCTCACCTCCCAACAAGCAGACTGTATAGATCTGTCTTCTGGAAACAGTGAGCACAGACGTGCACAAAACCAAGCCACACCAAATCACAGGAACATGTTCATCTTCCTATAGCTTGCTGCAAGAGAATCTCTCATGTAGTATTTAAATCTACAAGTTGTATGGAAATGGGACCTTGAAGAGATGTTTTTTTTTTAAAGTAAAATGCTTTTTAAAAATGGTACCTTGGCCAACCCCAGCTCTTAAGTTTCTTCAGTTTGACCTTAAAAAAAAAACCAACAAAGACATGAAGCTCTGGAAAGATGGATTATTAGATTTGTAAGGGAATTGTCTTGGAGGCGAATGTTCCGAAACTGTAACTTCACATTCTGATCCGTTTTAGTCGTAAGTTCCAAGATGGGCAGGGCGCTCCACATACAGCGGCTTCTGCAGCGTTGTGCGTCTCACCACAGCGAGAGTGTGGAGACCCAGGATCAGTGGCCCCTTCCTGTCCCCTCTGTGTCCAGTGTCTCCACAGGCTCACCTCCAGGGCCCACAACAGACACTAGACTTAGACCTCCTGGTGTCCGTTTGTTTATATTGCTAATGCCACGCTGGAGTTTTTGGATGCTTTTTTTTTTTTTTTGGTGGTGTAAAAGTAAGAAAAGAATGCCCTGCCACGTTGATTCTGGGACTGGGAAAAATAGAGATTTGACTGGGATGATTGAAAAGAAATAGGCCCAAGATAGAATGACACTGGTTTTTCGAATTGGAAATTATAATATTCTCTCAACTTTGTGTACGTTTGAAAAGGTTTATAATAGAAGTTTGAAATGGCTCCAGACAAGGATTTTAACAACCCCAGAAAAGGCAACAGCCCTTCGCCGTCAGTTTCACTTCACCTGAATGCCTGGCTGCTGGCTTTGCCTGCTGAAAGGGACCCCTCTGTCCACTGCTTGTTCCGTCTATTATCAGGAGGTGGGGATGCTGGGAGCAGAACTAGGGTGAGGTCAGCATGCACTTCTGAGCTTATTCGGATCCAAACCAGGTGCCCCTTGTTTTCTTACTACTCCCTGCCTCTTTGTCAGTTCTCTGTTTTTGCACTTAAGATGACTCAGTTACATATGAAACTACTTTCTTGTGAGCCCAGTTCTCTCTTTCGGTGTCTAAGGAGTTCAGTGTGAGAAATCATTCTCAGCCTTTTCTCTAGCTCAGAGATGAAATCGCTGTTACTCATTCCCCTTCCTGCTAGGGCATTGGCGAGTGAACCTCAGGGTCAGGTAGATAGGTAGTGATGCTCTCTGCTCTGCTCAAGTCTTTCTCACGTGCACGCAAATAGACACAATTTCTTTTGTAGATGATCCTACACACACAGAAAACGTGTGGAAAATTTCATTATCTTTTAATTCCATTTTTCATGAATGCTTTGAAACACCCTCGTGTATAACCCCACTCCCAAGGAGAAATCACTGGGCTGTTCTAGATTATTTTTTAAATAGATTTTTTGGGGGGGCAGGGGAGATATAAGCCAGGAAACTAAATGATAACTTCTTTGAAAGATAAAACAGGGTCTAAAAAACAAAAGTTCCTCCATGGAACGAATCGTGGTGGTGGTGTTATAACTCGTCATCCTTTTAATCACAGGTCTTAAGGAGATAACACAAAATTACTTGTTTAAAATGAAAAAGTATATTAAATTTTTCTTGAAATGGGTTGAATTCCTGAATCTCTCAGTTTCAGTTTGTGTCTGTAAACTGGGGCTGCTGATGCTTGGGGTGGTGGTGGAGGGCGGGAAGCATCCTGTGAAGCCCACAGGGACAATGAGACCCACAGGGACAATGAGAACTCATTCCTGCTGGTGGCCTCTCATTAGGGAACTGCGTGAGGACTGCCGAGCTCCATGTGGAAAGGAAGCCTCGGGCTCCAGAGGGCATCTTTCAGTTCTCTCCAAGGCAGTGTCCCCCACTGCATTTCTCAGCACTCCCTCGCCCACTGTGTGCAGTTTCTGCTCACACAGGGGAGAAGGTCTTAGGCTTTGACCTTGTGGCGCTCACAGCATTGAAGAAGGTACATTTTGGAGCCGCTTGTATGGCGCTCAACACGGAAACGGCCTTTCGGATGAGGGTCTGGCCACCAGGCAGCCAGGTTTCCGGGACAGGGCTGCGGTTCTTTGTGAAGGAGCAGTAGATGGAGGGCTTTCATTTTGCTATTTTAAAATAGGAGACCGTTTGTACATGGAAACATGCTAAAAGACCACTTTTATTTTCCACTGGAATGCGAGTTGAAGCCAGAAAATGTTTATTCACAACATTGATCCACAGGGAGGGAGGACAAGCACATTGTTCTGTTTCCTGTTTTGGACAAACATTCCTTTTCACTGAAAACCAGTGAGAAAGGAGAAGAGTGCAGGAGGAGGCTTCATTCCCCCTGCTTCTCTCTCCGCTCTCTGTGGACACCATGTCCAGGTGGTCTGTACAGGCCCAGAGACCTCCAAGCTGCCATTTAGAAACGACACCAGACACTGAAAGCCAGCCGCCAAGACCTGGAACCGAGACCTGCTGGTGTCCATAAGCATTCAGTGTAGAGCACTAAGCCTACGTCACTGTCGGCCTGGCTCTGGGCTCACTGTCTCACCGCAACTTGTGTGGTGCCAAGAACCTGCCTCCTCCGGGCAGCCGGGTTGCTGCCGAGGGCATGCAGGATGTGCTCGGGGCACATCGGGAAGATTTCAAACAGAAAGGAACTTTACCAATATGCTGGGCTTCCTAGCAGCTCCGCAGTAGCAGGAGTCGCGTTAGAGCTGACTGTCTTTCCAAAAACCAGGCAACGTACATTTCCCTTGTGTTTGTATGTGTGTGTCTTTAACTGGGTTTTATAGCATACTTTACACACATGGATCAGAATAAAGAGAAGACAAAAGGGATAAGGTAGAAGGGTTTTGTTTGTTTACATATCATCATTGGCCTTGGTTTCTACTGTGAAGGGTAAAGCTCTGGTTTAGGTGCTATGACCTCCACCCATTCAGATGTGAGCAAGCTTGCCCTTATGGAGTTTATCCACTGGGGGTAACACTGCGTACACCACACTGAGTAACTGAAACCTAGGCTAGGATCTGATAAATTCCACACCAAGAGCAAAGTGTATGCAGAATGCTTATTCACGGCTCACTGCAGGTGTGTATCCGCAGGTAATATGGGGTATTGATCCATAGGTAATTCAGGTTGTTAATCCACAGGTAACTCTGGGTGTGTATCCATAGGTAACTTGGGGTGTTTATCCATAGGTAATCTACGGCATTAATCCACAGGTAACTTGGGGTGTTGCTCGATAGGTAATCCAGGGCGTTAATCTACAGGTAACTTGGGGTATTGATTCACTGCTGGGGTGTTAATCCACGGGTAATTTGGGGTGTTGATTCGCAGCTGGGTGTTAATCTACAGGTAAATTGGGGTGTTGATTCACAGCTGGGGCATTAATCCGCAGGTAATTTGGGGTGTTGATTCGCAGCCGGGGCATTAATCCACAGGTAATTTGGGGTGTTGATTTGCAGCCGGGGCGTTAATCCTAGGTAATTTGGGGTGTTGATCCACAGGTAATTCGGGGCGTTTAATCCACAGCTCACTCTGGGTGTGTGCCGGTAGGTTCATGGTATCTCATAGCTCTTTTGCGGTGTATAAGGGGTTTCATCTTTAATGGAACCTAGAACGGATTGCCCACCGACTGTCAGCAAGTGGTCTGAGTGCCAAGGTTGGCCTGGTGTTCATGAATGACGAGCTGGACTAAGTGTCCCTCCTCTGGCTGGTGTTTCAGTGAATGAGAAACTCTTTTTTCTCTCTTGGAAAGTTTTTTAACCAGGTCCTGATGCTCGGGAAGACGTCTATCAGCGACCTGTCAGAGCACGTCTTCGACCTGATTCTGGAGCTTTACAACATCGACAGCCATCTGTTGCTCTCGGTTTTGCCCCAGCTTGAGTTTAAGCTGAAGGTAACTGTCATAAAACTGTTGTAAAACTGTTCCATCTGCCCGGCTACTGAGCTCTTCAGTTCTCGCGGTAGTTTGAACTGAGGGATGCGGAGGTGGCGTCTCAGCATGGCTGTACAGTGCTGGTTCTGACTCGGCGCCCCTGTAACCTTTATGGGAGCACACAGCCTCATCTTTCTCCCGCAGCACTACTTTTGAGTTGGCTCCAGCTCATCACCACCTAGGTCCCACAGTATGCCTCCAGGAAGCGAATGCCTGCAAAAAGGGAATGCCTGCTCTCGGCTGATTGTTTCTGAATTTAGATTTCTTAATTCTGTTGTATTTTGACAACAAACATTGTTTGAAGGGCACATGTTTTCAGAGTTACTTGTCTGTATATATAATATTTTGTTATTATTATGTTTTTGTCCTGAAATTACAGCATTTCAGGTTAGTGCCCACTGCCCACTCTGGGGCTTCTTAGGCAGTAACTCTTCACAGGGGCAGAAAGCCTCCTCTTTTGAATTGCCGACCTTTCGGTGTGGTTAGGTAGTGTTTGCTGCTCGATGCCATGGAGTCAATTGTGACTCTCAGTGCCCCGTGGGGTTGACTAGAGCTCTGGCTCGGTGCATTCTGGCTGTCCTCATTACTGCAGACCTTTCTGTTGGTTGCAGTGCTTAACCGTCGCACCACCAGGGCTCCTGTTCCCGTTAGGCGTACATGAGGCCTTTACACGGTCGTGGGAAAAGTCAGATCTGCCATGCCATTTTCCAACGACTTTTTGAAGCCTCCTCAATTGGTTTTGGGATTCTGAGCATCTCTCTTCTCAGCTTTCATCTTTCTGCTCTTAAGACTCCGTAGAAGTCCTCTTTCTCAAATCTTGACTTATGTTTGCTCTTCTGCCAGTTATTCTGTGCAGGGTGGCTGTGAGTCAGAACCAACTCGATGGCACTTCCCCAGGCATTCCAGAAGTGAGGAGACTAGACTAGTGTTCCCTTGAGGATCGTGCTTGCTTCCAGATGGTTTCCAGATCAATTCTAGAATGCTTAGCCCTTGGCTGTGTATGGAGCGTGCGTTTTTACAGACACCGTCACAGCTCCCTTGGTTTCTGGCTCATTATCAAGGTGAAACTGGAGCCCCTTCCACAGCGGCCTGTGGGCGCTGTTGACGTTATGCCCAGCTGTAGACTGGAGGTTCCTCTGTACATCACAGATGGTTACATAAAGCTGGTCATCATGATACACAAGGGGGGCTCCCTTTACTGTTCAGTTCCATTTTCCCACCAACTTTTTGAAGCCCACCAGCTGCTCCTCAGAAACCCTATTACAGGTTGCTGTGAGTCGGACCTGACTCGACAGCACTTACCAACACTGTGTACCCGGAACAGTTTTGAAATGGTTTCTGTGTTGCATTTCTTTCCCTTAAACTTCTGCTCTGCCCCTTACCAAATCACGCAGAATCAGCAGTCCATGTTGCAGTGTGAGCACCTCACAGCCGCCTGGCCCCTCACCGCCATCCAGGTGGCTCAGCTGCAGTGGGACAGAGCAGATGGGGGCAACAGGCTCAGCTTGCTTCCTCATAAACACCTCAACTATCCCGCAAGTCATTCTCATTTTATTCTGCAGTGTTTTTGGAGTACTCTCAAGCGAGTTTGGATTCACTTGCTTCTTGGTGTGAATGTTTCATGGCTTTCGTCAGATTGGAGATTGGTCACATCTTTCATTGCGTGTTGGTTTATTTGATTTTCTCTAGTAAACATAGTGGGTGAACCCTTGTTCGAGACATTTCCGTATATTCTGTGAATGATGTACGAGGAACCTGGGCGGTGTGAGCAGTGTGTAGTTAGCCATTAACCCACAGGCTAGTGTTTGAAAAGCAGCGTGAGAGAAACGCCTGGCCATCTGCTGCCACCAAGATGACAGCTAAGAGAGCCCACGTGTAGTCCTCCCCCGTAGCACGTGGGGTCGCTGTGAGTCCAGGCCGACTTGACAACAGCAACAACATAAATGTAAAAATGAGATCCTCACCCCTGCTTTCAGCAAACAGACTGTCTTCTACTGGGAGAAAAGGGAAGGAGAAAAACACTTGGTTATGAAAAGAGGCCCATTGGTATGAGGTAGGGTGGGGCTGAGTGAACCAGAGAACACCTGGACCCAGGGGTGGGAGGAAGCACCGAGGCCCGTCAACCCACACCAGGTGGTCCCGATTCTTTGGAAGTGGAGTCTAGGCATCAGTGTTTGATTTTAATCTGCAGAAAGCTTTAGGGGTAATGCAGCTAGGGTTGACAGGAGTTGACCTGGCTGAACAACAGGAGAAACCATGCAGGTGAGTTCGAAAAGTCGGCACTGTGCTTGGGGAACATGCCTTCCGTCCTTCCATCTTTCTCCATGTGATCGCGTGAACTCTGGCAGCTGGCTCACTCATCTAACGATTGTGCTGTATTTTAGAGGTGCCTCATTCATAATCAAGTGGGGTCCTTGTCCAAAGGTGCCCACAGTATAGACCCTACAGGTGAAGGTTAGTCTTCAAATCATCAAGGCTTTTTCCTTTACAAATCTCTGTGTCCAGGGAGGAACTGACTTTTCTGTTTAATTCAGAGTCTCCCTTGGGGAGCGTCCTGTACATACACAGATACGTCATAAAGGATTGTTACTGGGGTTCTGGTAGTACATCCATACCTGGGTTTATTCCCAACAACACGTGTTTAAGTTTGTCTTTGTGATCGCTCGGGGGCTGTAGACAGGTTCTCTCAGGAACACACGTGTCTTAGTCTTCACAGGGATCCTGCACATAACAAGGTCCAGTGGAAACAGTGGCTTCAAAGGGCGTGTGCTGGGTCAGTTCAGTTCAAGGCAGAGAGGTCAGCTCAGAAGGTTGTGGGGACTGTTGTTTGGGGTTCCAGAGGAGTAGGGGGCACTGGGGGATGCTCTCGAAGGACATGAGAGGGTCCCAGGGGCAGATCGTGAAGAAGTTTTAATAAGCACAGTGGACACGGCAGTGGGGAGAGCAGCTGGAGCTGCACCGAGGAATTGGTTCCAGTCACCACCACGCACCTCCTCATTCTTCAGGCTAGCAAGCACTGTCCTGGGAGAATTTCAGTGGAAAGCCTTGCCCCATCCACCCTCCAGACCTGACCTTGCCCTTTCAGACAGGTTTCTGTTCTTCAAATATCAATAATACCGAAAAGGAATGTGACGTGAGTCCTTCGTTTTGACACTCGTGAATCAGGGAGAGCAGCATTCAGGAAAGGCCGCCCGGCAGCACCTTCAGAGGTGGGCTAACCTAGATGGCAGGTGGGCGGGCGTGCCAACGAACGGTAGCTTCATGTTCAGAGGTTTCTGTTTCATAAACGCTTCAGTAGCAGTACTTTCTGACTTATCCATGTATGTTTGTTCTACATAGATCTTGCAAGTCGTGTGACCACACAGAGCTCAGGGTCCATCCCTGGTACAGAAAGCCTTGCAGAGGTTGTGTAAGAGATCTGTGTTGAGTGAGTCTCTGCTGTAGGAGGGGCTGCCAACACACAGTCCCATTTTTGTCCTGTCTGTTCATGCTAGAGGGACCTACTGGTCAGTGCCGTCTGTAGTGAGCAGGTCACGTCAGTGAGCATTTCCGTTTTGTGACGTGTTGACCGGCATCTCTAGGTGTCATTTATCACCCAGGGCTCAGGCGAGGGTTCCTGTATAGTCGGAGGGTAAGGGGGACGGGCCGCTGAGTTCTCCCTCATGCTCTGAACACTGTGACTGTTTTGTTCCAGAGCAATGACAATGAGGAACGTCTGCAAGTTGTGAAACTCCTGGCAAAAATGTTTGGGGCAAAGGACTCGGAACTGGCGTCTCAGAACAAGCCTCTCTGGCAGTGCTACTTGGGCAGGTACTTGGACAGTGCTACTGGGGCAGGTACTGGGGCAGGTACACGCGGTCTACTTTCCCGCTTCCTTCTCCTGCTGACTTCATACTTTCAGAAACTCCAGCCGCTCAGCCTGGAGACCTGGGGTGGTGCTGTATGATCGGCACCTGACTGCTAATCACAAGGTTGGCAGTTCAAACCCACCAGCTGCTTCTTGGTCGCTCTGCTTCAGAGCCAACTCCACGGTACCTAGCAACAACAACACCCAGTCCTGCTGCCTTCTCTGAAGTCGGGATAGCCAAGGCTCTCTTTCTTGCTGAAATTTCTGTGCTGACAATGATGGACCATGCTGAGTTTTCCCTAGGTCTTCTCAACTTATTTCGTCCTCAGGGATTTTCAAAAGAGGGTCCATAAAAAAAAGTACACGGTCTAATACTGTACCCATGAAATTAAAATGTTTTACTGCTAAGCAGTGAGTAATTCCAACTGAACAGCTGTCTTTGTGGGTTACAGCTCCTTTACCAAAAGCTACACTTCATTAGAACTGAAAAGGATAAAGATATCCAGAAAATGAGTAATAAGTGTATGTTCCTAGGGCCCTGGTGTGTTGCTGTAGGATAAGTACTAGACTGCTAACCTCAAGGTCTGTAGTTCAAACCCACCATCTGCTCCTCGGAAACCCTACACACGGGTGGCCACTGTGAGTCAGCGCTGTAAATCCCTGGTCTGTGGAGACCATGGGGTTTGCCCCTGAGTCAGGTCTTGGAAACCCTATATGGAGTCAGTGGAAACTGATGCCACAGCACTTAGCAGTAGCACTGTGTTGCTCCCCGAAGCTCTCTTTGTCATCTCCTGAGCTGCTTCTAGTGAGTGAGCCACAGAACTCCTGAGGTTGTGAGTGTGTGTGCCTCTGGCGGTGTGACAGGGCCTCACTTCACTCAGATTGCTCAAGGGGTCCCTGACCTAAGAAATAGGAAAACCCTACCCACCAATGCCTACTTTGACCTTGAGGATAAAGGAGAACTTTGCCCCCTTCAGTAAACCTTCTAACAAATGATGTTATCAACCATGAAACAATACTAGATAGGATTGAGCTGCCTTTATCCTCTTGGTCTTATGTTGGAGTGTTTGGGTTGGGAGCACGGTCTCGTTGTCTGATGTTAGCTTTCTAACTGCTTAGATGACTGATGTACCTGTAAGCTGTTGCAAATCATTGTTAAGTTCTGAATTCTCAGTGTGATATTCTAGCACTGAGCTGGCTCAGTAAGAATCTATACTGAGGTACATGAGCTAATAGTATCCCATTGTCATTTGATGTGTAGACTTTTCCCTCTTAAATACAATGGGAAATGTATGGACAGTTGATCAAAAAATACTTACAAGTTACAATAAATGATTCAGCTAAATTTAATGTCCATTCTGTTTACCACAAAAACATATTTCAAATATACAGCTAAATCTTTAAATCAGAACTTAGACTAGTCAGACTTTATTCTTATCTTACATGTTGTTTGGGCAAAAAATCGTCATGTACATTCTCGAAGAAGCGACTAGACACCCTACAGAATGGGAGACCTTATTTGGTGGCCATGCATTTGGTAACCTGCTGCCGCGGAGTCAATCCTACTCAGGGCAGCCCCATGTGTCACCACCGAGCACACAGGCTCTGCAGGGTGTTCTAGCTGTCATCTTTATGGCCACAGTCCGCCAGAGCAGCTGGGCAAAGTACCTGCATCATGCAAGCTTTGTGTCTAATGGGGTTGAGTGTCCACAGTCTATAAAGTGCTCCTGCAACCCCACACTAGAAGTCAGACAGCCCAACCCAAGGGTGGACAAAGGACTAGAACAGAGCGTACAGGGGTCACTTGTTGAAATGTAACCGAGACCCGTGGGGTGGCTGTGGGATAGAATGAGTGTTATTTATGTGAGAAGTATCAGGAGGGAGCGCAGGAGATGAGCGGCACAGTGGGCCCACCTTAGCAATGGCTGTAAGAAGGACGCAGGTCCAGGTAGGGCTTCCTTCTGTTGTGTGTGGGGTCGTTGAGTCAGAGCCGCTTTGGTGGCTGGTGGAAACGTTAAAGTGGTACAGCTGCTGCGCACAAGTTTGGCAGTTCCTCAAAAAGTTAGACGTGAAATTCCTGTGTGAGCCGGCAATGTTAGTACTGGGTACCTAGCCAGAAAAGTGGGAAGCAGGGATTAAAACACGTAACGTGTCTACCAGCGTCTGTAGCAGATTATTCACAGTAGCCAACATGTGGAAAAAATCCAAATATTTAAACAGCAGCTGCACGCACAAACAAAATGTAGCACATACATACAATGGAATGTTACTTCTCTTCACAAAAGATGGAAGTGTTCCTTAAGCATGGCCTGACGAATGAGGCCAGGAAACGGTTAACACTGAGTGAGATTAATCAGATACAAAAGAAGGAATAAAATACCGCATGGCCCATTTACATGACACTTGGAATACCAGTGTGGAGAGACCAGTGTAGGTGAATGTTGGCCAGGGGCCGTAGGGGAGGGACTTCCTGCTCTGGGTGCAGAGGTTCTCTGGGGAGTGGGGGGAGGAAACATTTTTGTTGTGTATGTTGTTGTAGCTGAGTTGCCATCAAGTCAGTTCCCAGTCTCAGCAACCCTGAAGAGGGTTTCTGAGGATCAGCTGGTGGGCTTGAACTGCTGACCTTGTGGTTAGCATTCCAGTGTTTATCCTACAGCACCCACACCACGTTAAAAAAGACAAAACAAATTATAATCTGTAGGTCACCTTTCTGTTCCTACTTTGCCATGTTTCCTTTTATTTCATGGCATAAAACTCACATGCCATTAAATAAGTTAAGGAGCTCCCACGTATTTTAAAGATGTATTCTTTAGTGGTTTATTTATGTATAAGGTGTTTTTATGGTGCATGTTCAGTTGAGAAATAATCAAATGTGCGCAAATTGAATACCTGAACCCAAAGAGCTGAGAAAAGCAGAGGACCACGGGAAAGGTCTCTTTGCTTTTGTAGGGGGTGTATATTATATTATATAATGTATATATATATTTTTAATCCTAACAAAATGTTTGAGTAATTTGGTGTTGATTATGAAGATTCTCTTTGCTCCTTTATCATGCAAAATTCTGTTTCTTTCAAGGTTAGATGATTTAAGATTGGAGCACCTTTGGAGTTCACAAACTTACACCTAATGAACATATTGAAAATGCTGTCTTTAATGCTGTTGTTAATAATCAAATGATTTTAAAAGAAAATGACAACATTCTGCAGCCCACAAGTGAACTTATGTATTAGGAGTTTTATTTTTTGTTTATATTTTTGAGAAATGTTAGATTGTTGTAGACAGTGCACACAGTAGTAGCTGCTCGGGGCTGTTGAGGTGGTTCGAATTCAGCACTTTCTACGTGTGCACTTCAGGGGCATTGACGGTGTCCTCTGAGTTGTGCTCATCTCCTTTTTTGGGGTGTCCCTCCCCCAGTAACACAGACTCACTGCCACCCCCCAGGCTACCTGTGGAATCAGTAAGGTTTGTTGTTAAGTGCTGTCCAGTCGGTTCCAATTCACAGCGACTCTGTATAGGGTTTCTGAGGAGCGACTGGTGAGCTGATTTGCTGACCTTCCGGTTCAAACCCACTTTGCAGTGCAACACATTAACCTGCAAGTGCCACATCAGGACTCCTGGTCAATTTAATCCCGTTATAGATAGTTCTTTAAATGAGTAGAATGCTCAAGGCAGACATTCTTGACTAACCTAGCTAAGCTGTTCTTTTGTTTGAAGAAGGTGTTGTGGGATATTTTGTTAGAAAACATCTTAGGCAGGGCAGTGGGTTCAGAGGTTCATCCCTCTCCAAGGCTCCAGCAAGTTTGGAGTTCACTAGGCTTTGAACATCTGTGGTGGCGAGATAGCTGGCCCTCGTGTGCTCCCTAAAAGAACATCCCAGTGCCTTCTGTAAAGGATGCTTGCTGAAAAATCATTACCAATAGAGGCAGCTCTCAGATACACTGTGGACTCCGTTCCAGAACACCACAGTAAAGTGAATGTCACGATGAAGCGAGCTGTGGGACTTTAGGCTTCTAAGTGCCTTTAAATGTGAACCAGAGTCTGTGAAATCATCTGAGAGTGCCACAGTGGGACACACAGACACGATGCTGCCTCGCTCGACACAGGCTCACCACACCTTCCAGGTGTGAAAAGGGTGGGATTGGCAAAGTGCAGCCAAGGGCAGTGTGCCGAGTGAGGCATCCAGATGGAGAGGAACCTGGGAATGGGCATCAGGGGATCTGATCACAGAACCCAGACTGCACAGGACACCACACACACCCAGCTGATGTGACTCTGGCAGATAGTAGATTCCACAGCGAAAGAAACAGGAACCTGAAACAGCGACATTCAGAATGTAACCAGCTCAAAGAATGGGGTCGGTGTGTTTAAGTTGTACAGACTATTGAATTGGTGTGTGTTTTACTCTTTTCTCAGCAACAAAATCACATTAGAGAGAGAAAAGATGGATTTTGAGGTTGGATATTTGATGCTGAGCAGGAGATTTTTCATTTTGAAGTGGGATCATGGGTTTTGTTTTTTCTTTTTTTTAAGAGTTTGAATTTCTTGTTGTTGTGACGTGCCATCGAGTCGGTTCTGACCCATAGCGACCGAGGTTTCCAAGGAGCAGCTGGTGAGCTTGAAATGCTGACCTTGCAGTTCAAACGGCTTTGCAGTCTGGTGCATTAACCCACAGCGCCACACAAGGACTCCTTGAATTTCTTAGGGATCCCTAAATATTTACTAAGGAAAAAATAAAAAATCGGCTTTGCTATGAGTGAGAATGCAATCACTGTACTGGCTAAGTGGGGCCAGGAGAGAATTCTGTTCTGGGTGTGATGGTGAGTGGAGTCAGCTAATATGAAACTTGAGTGTGGAGTGCAATGTGAATGCCTTACACTTGAAGAAGAATCGTTAGAGGAAAAACATTTTTGTCAAACATAGCACGAGATGTATTATCTTTGTAAACCGCATACAGGTACCCCCTTCCTTTTACTTTATGTCATCTCGCTTGTGAAAGACCCGGTACATTATAGTACCTGTTTTATTGCTAACTGAAATAAATCCAGAAAGGATTTCCACTTTACAAAAAAAAGAAGAAAAGCAGAATTTGCGTTTGGCCTTGTTCTGCAGCAGCCGTCACCCCAACAGCCTGAGCGGCGTCACCAACTCCACCCCCCTGCCCCCCCGAACCACACTCAGCACCCCAGCCTCAATCCCCTGTAGCTTGGACCTGTGTCCAGGGAGTTTTAGATGGTGTGTGTGATTTGGCAGGTTAATTTTGGGTCATGGGGATGCACAAAATAATACCCATGCAAATGTAATAGGAATACATTTTTACATCATATCTGTTTATGAAAGTTGCGTAGTAACACTCTATTTTTGGATAGTGGGTGAAACACATATACCTGTACTTACATATACTGTGGATTTCCAAAAGTTAGTGGGGAAGTTTCATTCTCTTTTAATTCCATTTTTACATGATGTTCTTGAAGCCTTCTTATATTTGACAAATGAATTGCCATCTAATTGACTCCCAACTCATGGTGCCCCCAGTGTCATTAGAACTGTGCCCACAGGGTTCTCATCAGTGGGTGATTTTTCTTAAGTAGATCCCACTCATGGTGTCCCGTGTGTGTCAGAGTAGAACTGTGCCCACAGGGTTCTCAGTGGATGGTTTTTCATAAGTAGATTCCACTCATGGTGCCCCCGTGTGTGTCAGAGTAGAACTGTGCCCACAGGGTTCTCAGTAGATGATTTTTCATAAGTAGATTCCACTCATGGTGCCCCGTGTGTGTCAGAGTAGAACTATGCCCACAGGGTTCTCAGTGGATAATTTTTCATAAGTAGATCGCACTCATGGTGCCCCGTGTGTGTATCAGAGTAGAACTGTGCTCACAGGGTTCTCAGTGGATGATTTTCCATAAGTCGATTGTCAGGTCTTCCTAGGAAGCACTTCTGGGTGGACTTGAGCCTCCAACCCTGTAGTTAGCAGTGAGTATGTTAGTTTTAACCCAGGACTGTATATATGAGGAAGCATATATGGAGAAAAAGAGAATGGAATTTTCCCAGGAAGTCTTTGCAGCTTCATCGTATTTGTCCTGCTGATACTTTTGAACTAAATGTCTGCTACTTAAACTTTGTCTTTTAAAGTCTTATTTCAAATGAGCTAGCTACTAGAAGTAGCCCATGTTCACTATGGAGACTGCAGAGCATCCTATTGATAGGAAAGCAGACTTCATTAAAATTGGCTCCACTTTGTAAATTAGTTTTATTTAGAGAACTAAGAATAAACAGTGCAGGATAAAACACACGTTTCTGTTTTGTTAACACCATGTGTTGTCTTACCAGGTTTAATGATATCCATGTTCCAATTCGCCTGGAATGTGTGAAGTTTGCCAGCCATTGCCTCATGAACCATCCAGATTTGGCAAAGGACTTAACAGGTACTATGTAGAGGTGTGTGTGTGTTTGTGTGTTTGTGTGTGTGTGTACACAGCAAACATTCCTAGGTGCTTCTTGGTGAAGAAAATGGGTCTTAGAGGAAAAGATACAGCATTTTGTTATTGTGACCAGTGAGGTGTCCTTATTGTGGTTCCTCATCGTTGAAATGATTTTCTGAAGCCGGAACAGGTTGCTGCATGCATCTTGGGCTCGGAGCACCCAAGAAAGCTGGTGTCTCTGACATCAGGCTGGGCTTCTGATGGGGTAGGTAAAATACCTCAGTGCTGGGCCGACTGTTGAGTTGCATCCTTCCCTATTGTGGTTGTTCAGTTCAGAGCCAGACAGAAACACACTTACCTGTTCAGTAGACGTGCTGCGCTAGACACCTGAGAAGCAGAAGGCTGTGTGCTTGTGGAGCACCGGGAACATCTGACTGTTGCTGTTGAGCTGCAGTGTAAGACTTAGCCAGTGCTGCCTGTGATGGCGGCCCCCTTACCGCCCACCTACTGTCCTCCACAGGGGCTCGCCATTCCCCTGCTGTCTTCAGCTTGTCACAATTGTTCTAGTGACTCCAACTGCTTTTCCTAGAACATATTTTTTAGTGGTATCAAAATGAAGGGTTTGAGTAACTCAGTTCATTAGAATGCCTGTTGTAGTTATTTCACATCCTTCATTGATTTTATGTCTTCTGCCTTTCTTTCAGATTCTCGATTTTCCCATTGAGTTTCTCATTTTTGTGTGATAGTTTTCATTAACTTGTCTAAAACCAGACTTCATTAGGGGCTTTCTTCAAGCAAGCAGCAGTGTGCAAAAGCAGCTCCTTTCTACTCGGCTCAGTAGAGCCCCTCTCCTCTGCCCTTGCTGTTGTGTTTGGCTCTGTGGACTCGCAGAGTGTGGTTCTGTGCTGGGGCCTCCTCCCAGTGCAGTCCTTTCCTCAGAGCCCCACCCTGGCTTCCTGTTTCCTCATTCCCGGTGGTCACAGGGGCCAGCCGTCTCTCGTCCCCCACTTACTCATGCAGACCAGGGCACTTTTCTTCCTGTGGAGATCATTCTACGACTTCCCTTTTCTAGGACTTCTGTCTATCCTAGATAGCGAGTCCTGCTGTGGTCCTATAGTATAAGCACTGGACTGTTAACCAGAAGTTTGGCAGTTCAAACCCACCAGCCTCAGGAACCCTTCATAGGGTGGTTGTGAGTTGGAACCTAGTCGACAACACTTAGCAACAGCATCATAAATTGATTTTTTTAGTTTGGATGAGGTGGACTACTACGTCTATGAATTTCATTTTAGGATTTTTAGGATAAGCACTAGGCTGAGAACCACAAGTTTGGTATGGTAGTTTAAGCCCAAGACGCTCTGCGGGAGAAAGATGAGGCTTTCTGTTGCCGCAGAGACTGACAACCGTGGCAAACCAATGCAGGCAAAGCCCAGTCCAGGTGGAGCCAGGTTAGCAGCACCCAACAACCACAACCCCAAACGAAGCCCGTGGCCACTGGGTTGGTGCTGACTCTTCGTGGCCTTCTGGGAAATCTGCTGAACTTTCCACTGTTGTTGTTTGATCACGCTTTCTCTTCCGAGCTCTTGTGCAGTCTTTGGAAACGTTGCCATCGTTCCAGTTTGCACGCTAATCACAGGCACTCATGCCTTTCAGAGTACCTGAAGGTGCGGTCCCATGACCCCGAGGAAGCCATTCGACATGACGTCATTGTGTCCATAGTCACTGCTGCCAAGAAGGATATTCTCCTGGTCAACGACCACTTACTCAACTTTGTGAGAGAGAGGACGCTAGACAAACGGGTGAGTAAACATGATATGTAGTCACCAGGAGGGGCTTGTCCTTAATATTGAAATATTTTCATAGTACTTAAAAGAACTGAGGCTGAAATGCACATAGCTTGTTTTTCAGGTGGAGGTATTTTAACATTTAGATTTGTATTTTTGAGATGGTTTTACTTTTTGTTTGATTACATTTGATTAGTTTTTCTGGATTAATCTGACTTTTCTCCTATAAATTGGGGTGGCTCTTCAAGGCAGGGTAGTGAGGTCAGATGTTCAGCCTTTACTGCCCCCCTCCGCAAGCCTTCTCTTGTCAACTGGATTCAGCAGTCCATGGTGATGGCTACACAGAACCCAGATACACTTCTCACAGTGATGGTTACAATTCAGAGTTGGCACCCTTCGTTCTTGTCGTCAGGACTGCCCCTCCTCAGCCATGAGCACAGCCAGAGCCCTCTCGGCCCAGACAACATTGTTGTTGCTCAGTGCCGGCAAGTCGGTTTTGACTCACAGTGACTCAGTATAGGGTTTTCCAGGAGCGGCTGGTGAGTTTGAACTACCCATCTGCAGTCCTGCGCTCATCTGACAGAAAGGTCTTTTAGGGCTGCTAGTAACTGCCCACAATGCACAGCATTCCACCCTCAGCCTCAGCCTGGAGGCACTCAGCTCTGGTTCCTAGGTCGGTAACCCTAGCTCCCCCGAAGACACCCATACTGCAAGCCAGCCTCCTGCCAGAGTGCCCCAGCTGTCCCCGTTCCAGGGCTGGGAGGCCCACGGCTCTGACTCGTGCTCTGGCTCTTGGTTCTGCTGCTGCTGCTCATCTGCCCCACTTCTAGTGTCAGAACTTTCTGTCCCTGGATCTCGGGGTACAAAGGACACGTTTCCCTGTTGGCTCTTCTTTTTTTTGGGCTCTTCTTTGATGACAGTGAAAGGCCCCTCTTGTTCTCAGATGGCTCATTTTAGACCACAAGTGTTTACACTCACACTCCTGTTCACAACCACCCACAGGTGAATCATAGCGCCTGTCCCCTTCTCTACCCCCTGACCTAACAGGAAAAGTCGTTGGGTTGGAGCTCACAAGTACTTGACATCGCAGCCAGTTTCAGTGCCGCACGGCACTCCCTGTGCTGGTGGCTGTGTGTGGCTCTGAGTCGGCAGTCCTCCGCCTGGTTGTATAGGAATCTCACAGATGGGAAGCTGAAAGGTGTCTTAGTGAAGCCATCCCACAGAGAAGCATATTTGGGGCCTGTCTTCTGGGACCCAATCCCCCCTCCTGGAGTGAGTGACGCCAGCCCTGCCCTTCTCCCCTGCCAGCTTCTAGGTGGAGGACTGGGTCTCATCTGGGTCTCCCACTCTGCCTAGAGTACAGGGGACTCAGTGAGTGTTAGGTGTGTGACCACGTCGGAGGGAAATAGTGAGGACAGCGAGATTCCTCCTGGGAGCTGAGGAGTTGTGACTGGCTGAATACTTGAACCTTTTGAACAGGATCCTTGATTGATGGTGCCCCCTTGTCTCCTAACCCCACTGTGTTGCTGCTGGTCAGGATGGGCCCACGAAAACCACAGACCTTGTTTTGACAGATACTTTCATAATCGAGGAACCCGGGTGACTACTCAGAGGGTTAAATGCCAGACTGCGAACCCAAAGGTCTGCAGCTCAAACTCGCCAGCTGCTCTGGGAGAAAGATGAGACTGTCTGCTCCTGTAAAAGACCCATAGCCTCAGGGAACTATGTGGAGCAGTTACTCTAAGACGAACCAACTTGATGCAGTGGGGTTTGGGCTGGAGACTTAGAATTGTCTTTATCGAGGATTCCATCAGTGTGTGAAGCCAAATGGGGACAGGCTTGGTGTAAGGCGAGACCATCTAAGAACCCACGTTGTCTTCTTCCTGGTTGGGTTCTTGGATATTGTGGGGATCATAATTCCCACATTTTGGATCATCGTGTGCTTGTTGTGGGTTGATTTGCTCATTCATGTCAAACTTGAGTTCCCACAACACTCGTCTGTGTTCTCCTTCCTTGTGGTATTAGAAGATGGTTTACCTCTTCATTCTCTTATTTCATGCAGCAGCTTGGGAAATCAGACTTAGAGATAGTATAGGGTTAGAGATAAAGCATCCATGTTGTTGTTGTTGAGTACCGTGGAGTCGGTAGACAAGCTGAATTCTTATTGCATGAGTAAGACTGTTAGAAGTCTTGTTTGTTACTGCGCATGGGTTAGATAAGGGCTTTGTGATCTGCTGCAAGCCACTGATACACACAACTAAGGAATGAGCCCGCCAAAGTTTTGGATGCTGCACACTTCTGCTGATTAAGGTGTTGTGTTTTGGTAAACCTGTTCCAGGCACTGAAGCAAATGTGGACCTATTGGGGGAACCCTCCACTGCCTAGGGGACTCTGTTCTCTTACTGTGGAGCTGAGCGGGCTTCCCTGCTAGCTGCAGTGCTCTCTGGTGTGTTTTCCTTTGGTGTTGGAAAAGCCGGGGTTGCATATCTTTTAATACACAGGAAGCGATCCTCTTACCGGGTATCGTCCAGGCAGACCCTGTGGGGTTGTGGTGGCTTTGGTGGCAGACCTTTGAAGTGAAGCATGCGGAGCCATAAAGTGAAAAAACGGACTGTGTGCGTTCTGTGCACAAAAAGTGGTATTGGTGCCATGTTGTATTGCACGGGAGAAGGGAGGATTGTGCTCCTGTGAAGAGACTTGAAGAAAATACGTAAAGCAAAGGGAAATGTAAAAAGACAACTAGAACACTGGCCGCCTTTGGTGATGGAGGCCTTTCTGAGTGATAAGAAAACCTGTTTTTGTCTCCTTTTAGTGGCGAGTGCGCAAAGAGGCCATGATGGGGCTTGCCCAGATTTACAAGAAGTACGCCTTGCAGTCAGCCGCTGGGAAAGACGCGGCCAAACAGATCGCGTGGGTCAAGGACAAGTTACTGCATATTTATTATCAAAATAGTATTGATGATCGGTAAGTTCAGGCCGTGTTGGCTACAACGATGTGGTGATCTTGGGTGTTGGATAGCTGCTATTGAGCTGTACTCTGAAGCCTCTAACCTTTAGATCCCGCCTCAGTTTTCACTCTTAGTAGAGGGAGTGCGTGTCCAGTTAGTTCACTTGCCACCAAAGCCAATTTAAAGAAGCAGTTGCCTGTGACTCTATTCCTACTACAGGACACTCTAGGGCCACAGTGTTTGCAGTGCATCTGCCTTTCCTGGCTTGAATAGAGTGTTAATCTGAATGTTCTAGTTTATAATTTTATTTTGTTTCCTGGTTACTTTCCTCACTTGCTCATTTGGCATTCAAATAAAAATAAATCCTTTAACTTATAGCCAGTTATTTTAAGCACAAACAATTCTTGTGAAAGTCTGAAGAGAAAACAGTTACAAGTTTATGTAAAAATATGCTCTCTGAATGCAATATTAATGTTTTCTCATTTGAGGCCGAGGTACCGCTTGGATAGATCCTCACTCTGTAGTATTCACAAAACTGTGTGCATCTCCATACACTCATGTGTTGTACACAGAGCTGTGTGCATCTCCGTACAGTATTCTGTAGTAGGAATTGATGGTTCTACCATTTTGGGACTGGGACATTAGTGCACAGAGACTTGCAGCACAATTTGCTGTCATGGATTGGAACTGGGCCCTGGGAAGGAGGAAGGCCTGGGAAGGCCCGAAGCCATGCAGAGAGGTAGTTGTTATCTGAGTGGGAGAGGGAGCCATTTATTTCCAGGATTGCAGACCAAGTCTGGTCCTGGTTCCTCTGAACAGAAAGGAGATTTTCATTAGGAAACCACATCGAGACTCAGAAAAGCTATATGTGAAGGCTTCAAAAAGTTCATGGGGGAAATTCTGTTTACCCAATCATTGCATTTTTCCCACCAACTTTTTGAAGCTCCCTCGTCTGTGTGTGCTTTACAAACAAACTCAGTGCAGTGACCTTTGTGTGTTGTGTTGCAGGCTGCTAGTGGAACGCATCTTTGCTCAGTACATGGTTCCTCACAATCTGGAGACCACGGAGCGGATGAAGTGCCTGTATTACCTCTATGCCACGCTGGATTTAAATGCTGTGAAGTACGTTTCCAATATCGAATCTGTGCTCGAAAGCTTTTGCAGTGTGTTCAGTGATGTGAATAAGAAGCTACTCTTGTTTTGGTTGTGCAGCAGTAACCCCCGCGGGGCAGAGCATTTTCTAGGCTGTGCTCTTTATGGGGCAGATTGCCGGGCCTTGCTTCCTCTGTGGAGCCGCTGGCGGGGTTTCTCAGCTGCCGACCTTTTGGTGAGCAGCCAGGCATTTACCATAGTGCTTCCAAGGCTCCTCTTTTAAAGGTTCCACAACCATCACATGCTGCCCTTTGTTCCGGCTCCCAGAGACCCACTCTGGGGCCACGATGAGTCTGAACGGTCTCCATGGCAGTGGGCTTGCTGTTACCCACATGAGCTCAATAGTGGTTTGTGTAGTGATTAAAAATACACAGAGCTGGCCAACATGTAATCTCAGGGTCTGATATTTTCTGTCTTTTTGTTGTTGTTGTTGATTTTTGTATTGTTGGTTCTCAAGAGATGTTTTCAGTGTATTTGTTGTTTGTCTTTTGATTTTCTTATGGTGTTAGAATGATGTCCTGGTGTGGCACTGTAGGATAAGCACCGAACTGCTAACCACAAGGTCAGCGGTTCAAACTCCCTGGTCACTTCTCAGAAACTGTCTATGCAGGGTCACTATGAATTAGAACCAACGTAACAACAACGGTGTTAGAAAGATCCATATTGTGAAAATGCTGCCCCCAGATGTTCTCTGTTACTTCCCCTGGAAGTGACTTGAATTATGGTCTAGATCGCCAGGGTACAAGTGTTTGTGCTGCATGCCCAACACACAACACTGTGCACAAAGGTTGGCACACATCTGTGCTCTGGGCCCTGCATGCTTCATTGAGAAAATACTCAGGTGTGTGAGGTAGGGAATGGTCATCTTGGACACGGTAGGGACACTGTTGACCTAATGGAGCCTTGTCGATGGTTAGGAAGTTGGGGCTGAGACATTATTTTGCTCTGGGTTTCAGGAAATGGGAACCCTCAGTGTGTGGCCGACGTAGTTTATAGCTTTGAAGACAGATTGGAAGTCTAAGGAGTGTACATCATTTTTGCTTCTCCTGCCGCTTCCTGGGCCTTGGACTGTTTTTCACCCGGAGAGAATTCTGGGTGCTGTTTCCCTCATCTAGAAACTTCAGGGAAGGGTTCTAGGTGGCATCGCAGTGCACGTTTCCTGTCACCTGCTCTGTCCTGCAGCAGCAGGACACAGCTGTAACAGACAGCCTTACCTACAGTGCTGAGAACACTTTTTACCTGGCCCCTTCCAGAAAACACCTGCGGGGGCCTGGTGTAAGTGGTCTTGTCTCATTTCTCCATACAATGAGCTGAACTCCGCAGAACCAGCAAGGGTTCCAAAGCTCATGCTTTCCCCACTGCAGTGGTTAAAGCAGCTGTGGTGGCACTGTGGGTTAAGCATCGGACTGCTAACCGCCAGATGAGCAATTCAAATCCACTTCACAGGAGAAAGCTGCATCTCTCTGCTCCTGTGAAGATGATAGCCTTGGAAGGCTCGGGGGCAGTTGCATTCTGTCCTGTCAGTTTGCTGCCAGTGGGATCAGTCTCGGTGGCAGGAGCGGTGAGAAGAATATGAACCCAAGGTTGTCCCGTTGATTCCAACTCGGAGTGCGCCTCTGGGACAGAGTGAGACTGCCCACAGGGTTTCCAAAGCCCCGCGGTGCTCATGGCTCCGAACAGCCTGTCTTTTCAGACAGCAGCTCAGCGCTTAACCACGGTGCCACCACTGTTGGTCTTGTCACGCCGACACTGTTTCTCACCCTGCCTCCTTTGCCCATCACTCCCAGAGATTTTGCTTCATCTTTGTTGTTTCCATCTGTAACTTGAGCTTTGTTTTTCAGAACAAGTTACATAGTTGGAATATTCCAGAAGAATTTTTGTTATGTTTTATTATTTAGCTTTATCTGCTTGTGTTTTCCAGAGCATTGAATGAAATGTGGAAGTGTCAAAATCTGCTCCGACATCAAGTAAAGGATTTGCTTGACTTAATTAAGCAACCCAAAGTAAGTTGAATTTTAAGGGAACATTTTTTTGTGATGTTTAAGTTTTGTAAAACATGTGTCTTAATTTACTTACCATCAGTTATTGCTTCCATGGGTTAAAGAGCTTGGTCTGTGTTGGATGGGTTTAGTCAATGATCCCTAACTTAGAAAACTTGAATTTTCAAGAAACTTACAACATGGATAAAGGAGCCCTGGTAGTGTAGTAGATTACAAGCTAGGCTGCTCACTTCAAGGTCAGCAGTTTGAATCTGCCAGCTGCTCTGAGGGAGAATGATGAGGCTTTCTGCTCCCATAAAGATTTACAGCCTCGGAAACCCTTCTTACAGGGTCGCTATGAGTCGGAGCCAACTCCATGGCACACCACCACCACCACCACCATTCTGTTGATAATTCAACATAAATCTGCTTTGTCTCTAAAAGGCGACACCCATGAGAAAGAGAGTGCGTTTGCATGTACTCAAAATCCAGCATTTATTGATTTATTTTTACAGCTTTCCAATAAACTGTAACAGTATTACCGGAAGCATAGAAAATAGAATAAAGCGACACTCTCTTGCCACCCTAACGTGCTCTCAACATCTTTGCATAGTCTTGGGCTTTTAGAAAGTTCGATCATGGTGCAGCTACAGAGAGGTATCTTGCGAATTTTACTTATGATTATTAATGGTGATGTTAACTGTCACTTGCTTTCCGTAGGTGTAGTTTAATGATGTTAGTCATCCCAGTTTTGTTTTTGTTTGTCTTTGAGAGTGTTCTGTAGTGAGTGGTGTCTAAGAGGTATACTTCATTTAAAAAAGTGTCGTGCCTTGTCAGTTTAAATTGCGTTGTAGGGAAACAAGATGGCCTCGTTGGGCATTTCTTTCCTAGTGTGTGACTCTCCACCTCCTCCAGCACACATGCCTTGTGTTCTCTGGGTGCAGGTCCATAGAGCAGTGTATTTTATCCAAGAAGGGAGACTGTCCAGGTGGCCACGTACCCAAGGCTCAGTAAGATGATTCCAGTATCTGATTGGGGTGGCTCGATACTATGACTTTTTTCTGCTTAATGCCCCAAATTATAAATCACACTGCATTGCAGACCGCTTGTTTACCTAATTGGATCTGACAGCTGAGTGGTACTTTTGTTTTGCAGGCTCACAATAATCTGTCTTGAACATAGTTAAAGGTTTTTAAAGTTTTGATTGTTGAGTATGCTGAACCTTCTAGAATGAATTGTCCCTTAAAAAGCATTACTTGTAGTACATTGCAGTACTCTTTCTCCACCTGTCAGTCAGTCAGTCAGTCCTCCAGTGGGGGCGTGCACATTGCTGTGTTGGTGGCAATTGTGCCACTGTTGTTTCCATTTCAGCAGAGCTTCCAGACTAAGACAGACTAGGAAGAAGGAAGAGGCAGTTCACTTCAGAGGGAGTAGTCCCAGAAGACCTTATGAATATCCACGAAACATTGGTTCATAATAGTGCTGGAAGATGAGCCCCTTAGGTTGGAAGGCACTAAAAATGCAACTGGGGAAGAGCTGCCTCCTCAAAGTAGAGTTGACCGTGATGACGGGAATGGAGTTCAGCCCTCAGGACCTACATGTGCTGCTGCGGTACAACTCAAAATGAGAAACAGCTGCAAGCATACGTAGTAATCAGAACATGAAATGTATGAGCTATGCATCTCGGAAAATTGGAAGTTGTTAAAAATGCAATAGAGCACATGAAGATCCATATCTTAAGCATTAGAAAGCTGAAATGACTGGTATTGGCCATTTTGAGTCAGACAGTCATATGGCTTACTATTCCAGCAATGACGAATTGAAGATGAATGGTGTCACATTCATCATCAAAAAGAACCTTTCAAGATCTGTATTAAAATTCAGTGCTGTCTGTGATAGGATAATATCCATACGACTACACATGGTGCTATAGGGTAAGCTCTGGACTGCTTACTAAAGTGGTTCAAACCCACCAGCTGCTCCTCAGAAACCTTATCTGGGTTACTGAATCAGAACTGACTCTATAGCACTTAACAAGCAAGACCAGTTAATAACATTATTATTCAAAATTACGTAGCAATCACTAAAGCCCGTGAGAAGAAATTGAAGAGGTACTTCAACTACTTCAGTCTGAAATTGATCAAACATGCAATCAAGATACATCAGTTACTTACTGGTGATGAGAATGTGGATTTGGGAAACAATGATCAGTAATTGAAAACCATGCTAGCAATCACAGATGGGATTTTGGAAGGCCAATGAGTTACTCACCTGTTTTCACCAACTTAAATTACAACTCTACACGTGGACCTCACCAGATGGAATAGACAGGAATCAAATCGATTATTTATCTGTGGGAAGAAACAATAGAGAAGCTCAATATCATCAGCCAAAATAAGGCCATGAGCCGACTGTGGAAGAAACCATCAGTTGCTCATTTGCAAGTTTAGGCTGAAGCTGAAGAAAATGAAACCAAGTCCATGAGAGCCAACATGTCACCTTGAGTATATCCCACCTGAATTTAGAGAGCAACTGAAGAACAGATTTGACACACTGAACATTATTGACTGAAGACCAGAGGACTCGTTGCTGACATCAAGCACACCTGTCTTAGTTCTCGTGCACTGCTATAGCAGAAACTGCACAGGTAGATGGGTTTAACTAACACAAATGTTTTCACTCAGTTTAGGGTGGGGGAGTAGTTGCTAAGTGCCACTGAGTTGGTTCCTACTCATAGGGACCCTATATCAGGTTTTCAAGGAGCGCCTGGTGGGCTTACCTACAGTGCCACACCAGGATTCCATTTAGGAGGGTAGAAGTCTGAATTCAGTGTACCAGCTGTTCAGAAGTGTCCTGTCTCCTTTCAGCATCTGTGGGCCCAGCATTCCCTGGAATCTCCATGTGTCTCGGCGTCAGTCTTCCCCTGGATCTAGCAGTGAGCATCACAGTGCGGGGACCCACTCCCGGGTCTTCTGTCTTGCTTGTAGTAGGTCCTACTCTCTGTCTGCTCACTTTTCTCTCCCTTTATATCTCAAAAGAGAGTGGCTGAAGATTCAGCCTAGTCATGTAGAATTCACCTGCCCTCATTAACATAGACGTGAGGGATGCAACACGAGGGCAGTTACATCAGAGTAGAGCGAATCACAGCAGACCGCACCGTGCTCTGCTGCTTTACATGAGGCCTCATCATGGAGACAGGCGGTCCCTACATTCACCTGCTGAACCACTGAGGGTCTTGGCTCAGTCTTAACACAAAAAAGCAACAGCCCAAAGAAACTCTGAAACGTGTCGTTGAATGTAAAGAAGCTACAGCGACCGGAAAGAGCTGAACAAAATACTTCAAGTGGCAGCTTGAGAAGACAACAGCAAGTATTACAATGAAATGTGTAAAGACCTGGAGTTAGAAAACCAAATGGAAGAACATGCTTAGCACTTCGAAAGTGAAAGAACTGAATAAAAAGTCAGGCCTCAAGTTGCAATATTGAGGGATTCTATGGGCAACAAGTAAGGAAGACCATAGAGTTGATGAATTTGATCGTGTTGGTGAAGAATATTGTAAGTACCATGGACTGATGGAAGAACCAACAAATCTGTGTTGGAAGAAGTGCAGCGGGAATATTCCTTGGAAGTCAGTCAGGATGGTGAGACTTTGTCTCTTATACTTTGAAAACATATTATCAGGGGGACCAATCCCTGGAGAAGCATGTCATGCATGATAAAGTGGAGGGTCAGCGAAAAGGAGGAAGACCCCCAAGGAAAAGGATTGACACAGTGGCAGCAGCTGTAGGCTCAACTGTAATAACAGTATTGAGGATGGTGCAGGACCAGGAAGTGGCACCTGACGTGGGCAAAATATTGAACAATACAGGAAGCATCAGAAGAAGATGGGAGGAATGTAGGCATCAGAAGAAGGTGAAAGGAATGTAGTCACTGTACCAAAAAGCAGTGATCCATGGTCAATCATTTCAGGAGGTACCATATGATCAAGAACCAGTGATACTGAAGGATGAAGTCCAAACTGCGCTGATGGCATTGGCAAGAAATAAGTCTTCAAGAATTTACTGAATACAAACTGAAATGTTTCATAAACTGGTGTAGTGCTGGGAGCACTTGCCATTCTAGTCCAAACAATTTGGAAGAAAGCTTCCAAACTGGAAGAGAATCCGTATTGATGTCCATTCCAAAGAAAGGTGACCTTGCAGAATGTTGAAATGAATCAAACGTAATCATAAATATCACATGCAAGTAGATTTGCTGAAGATAATTAAAAAATGGTTGCAGCAGTACATTGACAGGGAGCTGCCAAAAATCCAACTAGGACCAGAGACGACATGGGACAAGGGCTATCATTGCTGGTGTTGGAAGGATCTTGGCTGAAAGCAGAGAATTCCAGAAAGATGTTTACTTGTGCTTTGTTGACTACACAAAGACTTTTGATTGCATGGATCATGATAAAGTATGGAATCTCAGAACACTTAACTGTGCTCATGAGGAACCTGTACATAGACCAAGAGGTAATTATTGGAACAGAGCAAGGGGACACTGGATGGTTTAAAATCAGGACAGCTGTGTGTCAGAGTTGTAGTCTTCAGCCTTACTTATTCAGTCTGTATGCTTAACAGATAACCCGAGAAGCTGGTATGTATAAAGAATTCTCATTCATGTATGGTGGGATTGAAGAGAAAAGGTCGTAGAGAAAGATAGTACCCCAAGCTGGAATTCTAATGTGGGATGAGCCCCCTGGGTGGTACCAACGCTTCATGTGCTGGGGGGATTTGCAGCCTCTGAGTTCACCTAGAGGCACTTTGGAAGACAGGTCTGGCATTCCACTCGAGAAATCAGTCAGGAAAACTCTGCGGAGCACAGTTCTCTGATACACATGAGGTGGCTCTGAGTTGGAGTCAACTTGAGGGCTGCTGGTAGGTAGAATCTTTCGCTTTTCTGTGCTACTTTTTCACTTGCTACTCAGACGGGCAGCAGGCACGGTAGAGAGCCAGGCTTCCTGACTGTTGGTGCCTTTATTCCGCCTCCTGTGTCGGGAGCACTGAGCTCATACTAAAGGAATAATGTTTTGCTGCCTTGTTACTCAAAGTGATTAAAATTGTTTCCCTCTCAGCTAGCCCTCCTACTTGCCTCGTTTGAGTGGACAGCTGTCCTGGAGAAGCATGCTCTCCAGAAGTGGCCTTTGTGGCCCTTTCTGACAGTGTTGTCTACCATGGGGATTGCCTTGAAACCCTTCCCCCAAAACACAACAAGGTCCCCAACTGAAGTTTAAAATACCCTGGAAGTGAATGGTTTCCTTCTGTGTGAGACACCATGGTGATGCAGTGGGCAGGTGCTAGACTGCTACCTGGAAGGCTATGGGTTCGAACCTTCCAGCCCACGAGAAAGTTGAGGCTGTCTACTCCTGTGGGGATTTGCAGCCTCGGAAACCCCCATCCGAGCTGTGGGTTTTCACTGTGATGCTGTGGTGTCTTGGCAGGTTCATTTTGAGCAGAGACCTTGTCTATTCCTCCCTTACCCCCAGGTTTACAGACAGCCTCAACGTTTTACAGACTTGCTCAAAGACCTCTCTGCTGACTGAAGAGGGCTTGGCTTGCTCTGTGTCCTGGACCAGCTCGGGTGGGGTGGGCCTGGCGCATTGTAGGCTGGGTTACACTCTGACTGGGGGGATTCTAATGCTGCATTTTTGTGTGTGGTTTACAGACAGACGCCAGTGTCAAGGCCATATTTTCTAAAGTGATGGTCATTACAAGTAAGTCACGTTTTAATATCTGTACAAATGTAAGATTGCATGGAAACCTGGCTGACCACTGAAGGGGCTTTTAGGGGGTCTTCTGGTTGTAACTAACTTCCGACAGGCCGCATGCAGCCCCGGCTCCCCCTCGTTTCATGGCCTTCATTTACATTGCGTAGTCCAAAGGATTGAGCAAGACTGAGCGAGAATGGAAGTAATCCATTCTGTAAATTTATTTAGGAGAAACAATGATTAGTGAAACCTGTGAGAGCTGGGATGCAACAAGACTGCCCAATTTCCCCTCTGACAGCTGCAACCTGGCCACAAAGGGGGGGGGGGGCCCTCGGGTGATGCACTGGTTTAAGCATTGGGCTGCTAACCTCAAGGCTGGCAGTTCAAACCCACTGTCAAGGAGAAGGATGTGGCAGTCTGTTTCTGTACAGGTTTACAGCCTCGAAGACCCCAGAGGGCAGAGTCGGGATTGACTCGATGGCACAGGCTCTTGTAATGCTTGGTGTACTCAGTTTGTGCACAGACACAGACGGGTCCGTGTGGACAGGAAACTGTGTACAGACACAGCTGGTTCCGTGTGGACCGGACACTGTACACAGACACAGACGTGTCCGTGTGGATGGGACACTGAGCCCAGAGCAGATGGGTCCATGTGGATGGGACACTGAGCCCAAACACAGCCGGGTCAGTGTGGATGGGACACTGAGCCCAGATACAGCCGGGTCAGTGTGGATGGGACACTGTGCCCAGATACAGCATTGCGAGCCGCAGGAACCCCTTGTGCTGAGCCGCCCTCTGGTGACAATGAGGTGCTTGTGAGGTGGATTCTTAGGTGCTGATGGTGGTACGGACGCAGTCCCGGGCACCGCACCCAAGCAGGAGGCTCTAATGGACTGGGACTCGGCAGAAGGAAGAGGAGGGGAGTGCTTGCATGAGTAGGGTTTTAAGAAGGAGCCTGAGTGAGCAGTTTCAGGAAGAAGAAAAACAAAGCAAAAGAAAGCAAGAATGTGAAAGAATCCGCTCTGTACCACGAGGGTCATCTTGAGTTGCAGCCACTTGTGACGACAGGCGGTTTGGTTTGGTTTTGGACTTTAAGATCAAATCTATTTCTCATATGGGTCAGTTAAACATCAGTACGTTTTCAGCTCCTTTAGAATCCCTGAGAACTGGTTTTGTGCTGTTGCTGTATTTGTGACTTTTGCTGTGGTAGGGACCATGGCATGGCTGTCACCCTGTAGGACCCAGTTCCCAGCTTCTCCCGCCCCATCTAGCTCCTTGTGCTCAGAGAAAGCAGGCTTCCATTCCAGCTTTGCAGAATGCCCAGTTATAGTTCTCTTTAGCGCTTTTCTACGGCCTTCCTCCCTCTTGTCTCTTTCCCTTGATTTTTTTGTTCTGAAATGGTAGACCTTATTGTGGCCTCTCATAACATCGATGGCTTTTCTGGATCCCGGAGATACGCCAGTGAAGAGCTAACGATATTCTGTGCACCATTGTCAGCGGGCACGCCAGCAGGGATCCCTCCAGCCCTCAGACGCTCACTGTGCCGACACTGAGTGGGTCTTCTGCCTGCAAACATGGTTCCGTATTGTGCTCTGGGTCTGCTCTCCCTGCCCTCGATCCATCTTGAGAGCACACGGTCACGTCCTCAGGACTCCTTTCTACTTAGCACGTCAGGGGCCTGGAAACGAATCATCAACGTTGGGTGGAATCTCACTGACTCTGTCTCCTGAATCTCTGCTCCTCTCATTACAGCCCAGAGTCCCAGCTAGTCTCTGTTGTCACAGCTGCCAGGAAACCACTAGAGTGACTGAGGAATGGGAATGTGTCGCTTCCACAGTGACCCCGTGTGGGTTTCATATTTCTTACAAGGTTTTTAGATGTGGAAGTGTGACTGTTTATTAAAGTTACTTGACAACTGATAATTTCATTGAAATACACTGAATTTGTGTGTTAGGACTGTTAATTGATGAGACTCCTGGGTATGGTGCTGTAGAATCACAAGGTCGGCAGTTCAAACCCACCAGCTGCTCCTTAGGACCCTAGACCTGGTTTTAATAATTACAAAAAGTCTTAATTGACATAATGAAGCAGTGGGAAATGTTTCTTTTTTAAAAATAATTTTGAATTGTATCTTTTTTTGTTTTCAATTGTATCTTAAGGAAATTTGCCAGATCCTGGTAAGGCCCAGGACTTCATGAAGAAATTCACACAGGTGTTAGAAGACGATGAGAAAATAAGAAAACAGCTAGAGGGTCTTGTTAGTCCTACGTGTTCCTGCAAACAGGCTGAAGGCTGTGTGGTAAGGAGAGAGATGAACAGAGCTACCGTTTACAAAGGAAACAAGTCTTTCTGTGGTCCCCCCTTTAAAGAAACAATTTATATTCACTATGAAGTAGTTTAGGAAATACAACAAAAATAAACATGCAAAAAACAAAAAAAACAGTGATAAGCTTACTGTCCAGACACCTGCCACTAGCATTCTGCTGTGTCTCCCTAACAAGCCCACTGGGTGCACCCAACTGGGTAAGCTGTATCTACAGTTCGAAACTAGCAGCCACTCCGCGGGAGAAAGATGAGGCTTTCTGCTCCTGTAAAGATTTACAGCCTTGGAAACCCTGTACAGGGTCGCTATGGGTCGGAACCGACTCAACGGCATTTAACAACAAACAACAAGCCTTTTCAGTATTATGTTTTCATAGGTACATAGAGTACACAACCGGCCTTCAACATGTACACAGATAAGTGGAACAGAAAGATCAGGGGATTTTCCACGAACGTTGGAAGCCTGCTCATAAACTATATGGAGCGATCCACTGAACTAGATATTAACAATTGTTCCCGGTTCATGACTGATACAAAGGTCATCCATGGGTGTCTGCACCTATAGCTAAGTCTTGATGCAGTGGTGCCTGTCTTTTTATTTGGGAGAGAAACTCCTAGAAGGCCCGCTTTTTAAGGCTTGTAAAACATACTGCTCTCTCTCCACCACGGAACTTGTTTATACTAGACAGCAATCACAAGCGTGACCGTTTTCTCACGTAACAGCACTAACCAGCATCACCGCTGGAGGGGCCATGCGGGCCATGCAGAATTAAGTGCCCAGCTACCAGCCTGTTCAAATCCACCCTGAGGCCCCTCAGAAGATGGGCCTGGTGATTGATCTGCTGTGACCGCTCACGCCTTGATCCAGTCCATCATTGCTGGAAACAAGCCCAAACCAGACAAACAAAAACAAGACTTTGGGCTTACTTTGTGTTTCTTAGTCAATATCTGACCTTTCCCTCCCTTGGGTTCATTGTCCATTTGTGTTTATTTGTTTGTTTTTTTCAGTGTGAATTACATGTTCACAGTCTGTCCCCTTCTTAGAGCATTGTTTGTAAATATAGTTGCCAGTAATGCTTCTGAGACATTTTTTTAAAGATATGTATTGACATCCCCCCTCTCCCCCTGATCAACTAAATCTGGATCATTGGAGCAAGGTCCAGGACTTGTAGTTTGAAAAAACTCCAGAGAATTTTGCTCACTGAAGATTGATTATCCACTGCCCTTTGTTTTATTCTCAGGCATTTGTTTTTATTTTCTTTGGAATACTTTTGATGTCAGGTGGGAGATGGGGATTTATCTTGGTTTTTATTCCAAGTGTCTGTCCAGTTAGCTATTTCACTGAAATTATTGAAATTTCTCAGAGATGAAATTTTTACTCTGGTCTTTTTCTGGTCCTGGGCACTTCTCATTGATTTGCCTTTTCCAGCACCAATACTGCGTGGCTTTAATAACTGTAGATTCTAAAACATTTCCAGGCGATGATTTGTTTAACCCTGCTTCTTGTAACATTTAAAAAATGTGTGTTGCAGCGTGAAATAACTAAGAAGCTGGGCAACCCCAAACAGCCCACGAACCCTTTCCTGGAGATGATCAAGTTCCTGTTGGAGCGGATTGCACCTGTGCACATAGACGCGGAATCCATCAGGTACCTGCCTGTCACGGTGTGACACTTGACCTGCTGTGGGTTCATCCGGGCACTTGGGTCCTGTGGAGAGCCTGCTGTACACAGGGTGCCAGCTAGTGCCTAAATACATGTCTTGTACATATAGTGTGTTTCTTAGGATTTCTTTCAGTGATAAGTATTGGGTCAACTGGTCAGTTAGAAACTGTCAACTTAAACTTAGTGTCTGTCGGGGACCTGCCTCGACAGGGAAGTTTGGTTCACGAAGTAGGGAGATCTGGCGGCGAAAGAGATAGAGAAAGAATATACACAAAGACAGGATGAGAGAAACAAAGAAGACACCCCGAGACCAGAGTGGATGCAAAACTGGCAGACAGACCCTGCATGACAAGCAGCATGGCTGTAAAGCTTGGCCCTGCAAGCAGTAATGCATGCAGGATTCAATCTGCACCCGTCTTTTATTTCAGGGAGGGATTTTACACAAAGGAAGAAGGGGATTATTAAGACAGGGTACAGAAATGAAATGTGATTAATTGTTCAAAACAGGACACAATGATTTACAGGAACAAATTCTAAATTATATATCACAAATTGTCTTAATAATCTAACATTCTTAATTTTCCAAAAATTCAAGCAAAGTGTTATAAATTACTTTTTTGGCTCAAATCCTAAGGCAGTGACTTGAGGTTTCTCAAGGCTAATTAACGTACCTATAGCGCTTAATCTTTAATGGGTAAAGGTGAAAAGGATTTAAAAGGTCTGAAGAGAGTCAAGCTGTTTCAGCTACCTGGCTTAAGCTTTCAGGAGGAAGAAGGACCTCTAGGTTAATGGGTTACACCTGGGGACGATTTGAGGAGGTTGTCACTATTATTCCTTGAACAATACTCCGGAATTCGCCAATCTACTTTGAGTGAATTCCCTGGACGGATTGTCTCCGGAGCCTCTTTGCAGAATCCCAGCAAACTTGCCTGTGGAACTTTTACGGTCTCGGCTTTAGAAAGGGTTTTGATTTTAATATGGTGCATGGATATCAAGAGCTCATGTATTAAGTTAATATCAAACATAACTGAATAATTTGATAAAGAACAGTTTGGACATGCTTGCCAGGTGGCCAGAGTTTGTTCCTCAGAGAGATTTGTTTCCAGGACCCTATGCACTGCCAACACAGTGGAGACATTAAGAGAGGCACATAAGAAACCATTTTCTCAGAAGTTAGAATTACTGGAGTTAGAAGCATAGAATGAATAATAAGACCAAAGAAAATTATTCAGAGGTAACCCACCAGTAAGTTCGTAAAAGCCTATGAACCCGGGACGTCAGGAGGACACTTCCTTGGCCCTCAGGTTCCATGTGAACCCGGGACATCAAGAGGTCACTTCCTTGGCCCTCAGGTTCCCTGGCTAGCAATCCTGAGTGGGGCCTTCGTGTTGGATATTTGTGCATGACACAGGGCCTCAGCATCTCAGTGCTTGCAGTCCCCAACAAGTGTCTATCTTTTACAATGTACCAGGGATACCTCCTCTTTCTTGGCTTGTCAGTAGTAAATAGTTTAAGCTTTACTGGCCAGAGGTCTCCATGAAAACTCCTGAACTGTGTAGGATGTGGCGGCCACTGGCCACGTGTCAATGAGTGGCTTCTTTGCCCTCATATATCGTATTAAGGATTCCTTTTCTTAGACATTGCTAACATATGCTAGCTTAAAAAAGTGTGTGTTTGTTATTGTGTCCTCCATTAGTGCTTTGATTAAGCAAGTGAACAAATCCATTGACGGAACAGCAGACGATGAAGATGAGGGAGTGCCGACGGACCAGGCCATCAGGGCGGGACTTGAGCTACTCAAGGTTAGGCCTGCCTGTCTGACCCGGGCTCCCTGTTAGCTGGCCGCCATGTGTGCTGAGTGCTTTGATTCTTAACATCTGTCCCTGAAGCTTTTGTGACCTAGAGTAAAATTTTCTGTTGTTTTTGATCATTTAGAAATAGAATCTTTTTTTAACATGTAAGTTGAAATTTTTCAGGTTTAAAATGGTAAAGTCTTAAGATTCATTACATGAAAATACTGAGTATGATTTGAAGGTGTAATTAGTGAGCAAAGAAGATGCTAACTCGTCTACCACAGAATGGACCAGAGTCTCCCTAAAAATCCACGTTATAATTAGTAAAAGACTTACCGTCTTTTACTAATTATAAAGATATCAGAAAATGAACAATTATAAGAAAGGAAACATAAGCCTATTGTACATAAACATTAATGTTTCTTTTGTTTGCTTTTAAATCTTTTTAAAATACACGTATGTTTTTAGTTGAGAGCAGCCAGAATACGTAATTTTTAAAAATTGTATATTCTCTTATTGAAGCACATGTGCGTCTCTGTGCTCCCTAAGACTGTTTTTAACAGAGCCAGAAAACTGGAGCCAGTGTCTGGCTGTCGTTTCCTTTGATGTTGGGGAAGTGAGTTGCTGCTGTAGTGGGAGATGAGCAGGCCAGATGCTGAAGAGTGAACTCACAGAGGAGCTGACTGACCAACTTAACTCATCTTAAAGTGTTTCATGTTTTCCAAGTGAGGGAGATGGCAACTTTGTAACAGTATTACTGGAGCAGCCTGTGGTGGTTGGTAGCTCACTCTTTTTTAAAGCTGATTTGTCTTAACTTATTATAGATGAACGATATAAGCTCTTGGAATTTGCTTTTTCTTTCTTTGCTTGGTTGGTTTTGGGGTTCCTTTTGATATACATACAGTTAGAGCATCTTATATGGCCAAATTCAGCTGGATATTCCTTTGCAGTTATGTAAGACATAGTTGGTATATGTTGTTGTTACGTGCTGTCCAGTCGGTTTCGACCCATAGCAACCCTGTATAGGGTTTTTGAGGAGCAGCTGCTAAGCTTGAACCGTCGACCTTACAGTTCAAATGGCTTTGCAGTCTGGCGCATTAACCCACAGCGCCACACCAGCACTCTTATTTGGTATATAGACAGGATGTATTGTAATATATTGCATTCTGTTAGATGTGAATTATAAAATGTAGCAACAAAGTCATACTGATGAAAACTAAATAGAATATTAACCCAAATAGAGTATTAACAGTATTCATGAAGTTCCTGTGTGCAGTTTTTCTCCATTGACATCTTTCATGTATAATTGCACTAAATTTTGGATTTATTATCCTCGTACTAGTCTTTATTTTTTATAGTATTGTGTATTTGTGTTTGTTTATATCTATATCTATGTGTGTCTAAATAGTATCTAACATTGCTCTAGAACAGAGTGCTCATTTTACTTGTTTATGAATTTCACAAATAACAGCATTATCAGAGTATGTTTTTACTACTTGCTTTTTCCTATTCCACATTTGATTTCCATTGCTATGTTAAGCTTAAAAAAATTCCCATCCCATTTAAAGACTTTTCAGAGTTACTGTCTTCAGCAGTAACCCATCTGAAATTTATTTTGAAAGTGCATTTTCTGAGGGAAGATCTAATTTGATTTTCTCCAAATGGCTGGCCTGGTTGTCTCCAGACTATTTATTTACAAATTCCCCTCATTCTCAATTATTTCTGTTGCCTTTTAAAACTTATCTATTGCAGTCTGGATAATCGCATTTCTTACGTATGTGAGGAGCTATTTACTGGTTTACTTTTTGTTTTGTGATTTTCCCAGTGTGAGTACCATGCTGGTGTGATTATTATGATTTGTCTTAGCTTTAGTCACCTGCTGAGTGCTTTCCCCGTTTCCTGCTCCCTGGAGCTGACCTAACAGTTGTCAAGTAATCTCATCCAGCTTGTTGAGGAGGACACGGACACTTTGTCAGTGCTCTCTCTTTGTTTCCACTTTTCTTCTGCTCTCACCCTCTTCAGCAAACCGCCCCACCCCCCAAAATAAACCACCCAAACTTTCATTAGAATGGCAATTATTTTGATTAGAATTATATTAGCTTCTGATTTCTTTTGGGCAATCTGCCTGTACAGGGGCATCTGTTTCTGCCCTGTGTTACATGTCTGCTTGCTCAGAACCTTGACTTACTTGTAATACTCTTGAGTTTGTTGTTAACGATGACCATGTGAGATTGGGTGTGATACATTTCTAGTCTGTCCCATTTACAGCTGCATGTTTTTAGACCCGAGATGGATTTAGACCTGGTTTTGATAACTCCTTTTGTAGGTCCTCTCCTTCACACACCCGATCTCCTTCCATTCGGCGGAGACGTTCGAGTCTCTCCTGGCGTGTCTGAAAATGGACGATGAGAAAGTCGCAGAAGCCGCATTACAAATTTTCAAAAACACGGGCAGCAAAATTGAAGAGGATTTCCCACACATCAGATCGTGAGTAGAGCTTATTCTGACAAGTTTGGAAAATGGCAAGAGGATTTCTTGCTTTTTGATTCCTGTCATGGTTGGAGGAAAAGAAATGTCTAGGCTGTCTTGAGTCTGTGCTGTGCCAATTGGACTCTCATTTCCGGGGAGTAAGTTTTGGGATTTTTGAAGACTCATGATAGATAATGTTGTGAACATAGTGGGATGAAGCATTCGTTTTGCTGTAAGATTTGGACACAAAGGCACCTGTTTGATGGCAGCCATCCCCGGTGTGTTGTGGTGCAGGGCAAATGATGCCCGTAGGTGTAGTGTATGGTCGGGACGTCTGCAGGACCTGTAGCAGGATGGCCCGAGCTCTGCCCTCTCTGTAGAGCTGCCACACTTCCCTCACGGGTTGGTAATGTGTGCTGTGTGCCCACTTTCCTAGGACCGGGACTTAGGCTCGTAGCCGCGGGCCCTCTCAGGGTTAGTCTTCCTGGAGCGCGCACTGTTTGTGGATCAGTTGTCACAGAGACTAGAGCAAAGCTGTTTCCTTCCTTCCAGGATCTGCTGATAGCTAGGACAAGGGCATTGTTGAAATAGTAACACAAGTCTATCACAGGTTTTTTTTTTTTTTTCTTGGCAAGCATGGGAACCTTGTTTGGAGCAGACTTTTTCATTTTTAAGTGAACACAGAGTTTGAACTTCTTTTTGGATCAGTGCTCTGGCTCTCCTGTTTGGATCAGAATTTTTTACAAGTCTGTGCATCTGTATATGAGGGGGCCTCACAAAGTTTGTGGCAAACCCCATTTCTCCATGAACATTTTGAAGCCCTCTGGTGCAGCTTTTACCATCTGCTGACTGCCCTCTTCCTGTGACCATTTCAGTGGCACCTGGTAAGAGTTCATCCACCGGAGGGCGCTGAGTCTCAGATGTAACGGCTCCAGGAGGGCAACTGGCTAGTGTCAGTCCCGAAACTAGGCGCAGGCCTGAATTTCCGTGTGACCTGGGCCAGAGCTTTGAGCAAGGCCTAGTCTGACTTGTCCACTGGAGGTGGCCTTTACCCCTTTCCTTCTAGACTGTCCCCTTATAAGAGCCTTGTAGGATGTATTTGTCAGGGAATGGCGAGGCAGGGTGGACAGGAGGACACCCTAGAGGGTGCTGCTTTCTCACAGAGCTGTGGTACTTACGACGGTCTGTCTGATTCCAGCAGCTCTCGTGAGGAGATTGAATTCGGCTGACAGCGACTCCCTGCTGTGTTTCCGTGAGGCTTCTCCTAGCGTAAGCCTTCAGGAGACAGCTGTGTGTGCAGACTCCAGCTTGAACGGATTGAATTGAGGGAAAATGACAGCGTTAAGTGAATAGTTTATTAAACAGTCTTCCCTAGAAGTCACCAAAATAATGGAAAATGTGTGTGAATGGGACCGACCACAGGCTGGATGGAATTGGTGCCAGGTGGGGTGCCCTCTAGTCTGACTGATGCGGCAGCAATGAGCATCGATACATACTCCCAGATTAGGGGTCAGGCAGTGTTGAATCTCCGAGCATTCGAGTGTTAACCAGAAGGTTGACAGTGTGAGTCCACCCGGTAGCTCCATGGAAAAAGACACAGTACTGATCTGTCAGCACATGTGCTAATTTAGGAGGGGTTATGGTGTGTACCAACGATGAAAGAGAGGTAAACCCGCTTTCTGCTGTAACGGGTAAAGGGGGTGCTGGTGGTCACACCCGAGCCTTGTCTGGCTGACCTCTTCTCCTCAGCGGAGCACCAAGTAGAAGGCAGTAAGGCCGAGAGGGGAATGTGAGGCTCCATCTGTTCCCACCCCCTTTCCAGTCGGTCAGAGGGTAAGTGCTGACCAGAAAAACTTGTGATGATAGGCAGGGGTCCCTTGTGATATTCTGACCGGAGGGCGCCCTGGTCACCCAGGTAGCCCCAGAAAGCCATGCAGCTGGTTCTCATGGGAGGAGTTCCAGCAGACTTGGGGAGTCGCCACATGGGGGGCGGCTCACGATCCTCACGCTGCCCCTATGTGAGGAGCCAGCTGGCTAGATGCAGCCGGAGCTGGGAGTGCTGATGCTGCAGTTTGAAGAGAAGTGCGAAGTGTCTCGTCGGGGAAAACAATCAGGCATAAAACACATGGAATATCACAGAATTCAGAGGCCAGGTGCTCAGCACTGCTGGGAATCATTGGATTTTTCTAGGAAATAACAGTGGCTCCACACGGCCAAGAAAGTTAAACTGCCAAGGACATGTGAAAAGGAGAGGACAACACAGGCCAACGTATGAGAGAGGAAGTGGCGAAGAAGAACAAGAAGGGACTCACCTTTCGGGGTAGAATTGACTGCAGGCAGCAAGAAGCAGAATAAACTGCAGAAAACGACAGACTCGAGGTTAGACTTGAGGGAATGGCTGAGAATGGGGAGAAAGTAGGCAAAGCCACAAAGGCAGGCAGGCAGGGGCAAGCCATCGTGCCCTCCTCCCTCCCCCAGGGATAGTCATGAGAAATATTCATGAATTCAGTACTTCTGACTATTTCCTACTTATTGGCGATGAACAAAAATGTGAATCTGTGCAGCAAGAAGTCTCATAGCTGAGGAAAACAGCCTGGTGGAATTACATTGCATTTTAAGGATTTGTTGAATTTATTGAAGTAATTTATTTCATAAATATCAAGGTAGGGGGAAATAGCAGGTCGTGTGTTGTTGCTGAGTGCCGTGGAGTCAGCTCGACTCATAGTGACCCTGTAGGGAGTCCTGATGTGGTGCTGTGGGTTAATGCCCTGAACTGAGAGGTTGGTTTGAACTTGCAAGGTCGTTGGTTCAAGCTCAGCAGTCGCTCCTGAGAAACCCTATACAGACAAGGTTGCTATGAATCGGAACCCACTCCACGGCACTTAACAACAACAACAACAATAGGGTTTTTGAGGAGCACCTTGTGCTTTGCAATCCTGTGGTGACCCTACAGTGCCACACCAGGTCGTGTAGCATGACTGAAAGTAACAAGGCTGGCTTAGTCTTTCAGCCATGCAAGATTTCCAACGGAAGCAGCCTAATAGCCAGAGAGTTTACTGGACAGGAGAATCCGGCTGGCAGCCAGGCTGTAGCAAGGACTCAGAGACCTGCTGTCCCTCCAGCTAGGACCTTTTCCTAATGTCCCTAAACTCCAGCTCTTGGTGCAGACCCATGGTATGAGTTTGCCCATGACTTTACTCAGTATTTGTATATTTAGTGTAGGCACTGGACTGCTAACCACTCCGAGCCAGAGAGATGAGGCCCTCTGGTCCCATAAACATGTTTGCAGCCTCTGGAATCCTCTACGGGGTGGCTAGAAGCTGGAACCCATGTGACAGCACTGGGGTTGCCTTCGGTAAGCAAATAAAAAGGTGCCCCAGTGGCACTGTGGGTTAGGCACTGAGCGGGCAACCTAAAGGTTGATGGCTCCAAACCAAAGGTTTGTTGGAACCCACTCGGTTCCTCATCCTTGGCCAAAAGATGAGGCTGTGTGCTGGGTTAAGCCTCAGCTTTGCACCACCCTGTGGGCCACTCTTGCTCTACCCTGGACACTTGCTGAAGCGGGTTTTTTTTTTTTTTTTTAATGTAAATAATTTGAAAACTGGATTTTTTAGGATGGTATAATTCAGTAAAATAGTCTAAAGGAGAGGGAAGAAAAAATAAACTACAATTATGAAAGAAATTGAGAACATTACCCTTTCAGAAGTCTCTTGAGGGAAAAGTATTCAAATGTACAAGAAACCAGGAATATTCAGATTCTTCTCAGTTGTTCACAGTATAGAAGGAAAAAAGGAAAGCATTCCGTTTCTCCTTACAAAGAAGAGCCAGAGATAATCACGATGGTTCCTGTTGTCAGTTGCTGTCAATTTGAACGCCACGGGGTCTTGCAGGCCCACTGCCAGGCCTGCCACCTAAGCAGGATTGAAACGGGGCTGCTAGTCGAGCACCTAACTGTTTGCATTCCTATGAATCTTATCCTTGTCCCTCCACAAGCTGGATCTTCATCACCTCGACACAAAGATCAGAAGTGACATACTGGCAAAAACAACCAACCAACCAGGGGTATCTTATGACCAGTTGGTATGGCGTGGTCCATAGAGACTTTGTTCTACAGCCTACATTGGCAAGTAGCACCTGGGGTCTTAAAAGCTCACGAGCAGCTAAGGTACAACCATTGGTCTCCACTTGCAGAAAAAAGAAGAGTGATGACGATTGCAGATGTTTGGAGTCAGTTAGTGCAGTGGACCGTGTGAACGTCAGTCTCCACGCCTCTGAGATCAGAGGAGCCTGCAGTATGCCTGCTACCACTGCTGGCTGTTCTCAGGCGATCAAGTTGGAGGGTCCTGGATGAAGTGGGAGGGAGTGTGGAGCGAGAGGCTCAGAATTCGACGGGACTGGGTTTACCGTGTGGAGAGAGGCTAGAGGAACCCAGGGCGTGGCCCTTGACCACCCTTCAGGTCTGGACGGGAACGCGCCCTTGTGGCTCAATTTTCAGCTAAGTGGTGATTGACGCTGTTGCAGAAAGAATCAAGCATTCTTTAAGGAATATTTCCTTGGGGTCTCCTCAAAAGTTTCAGCAAACTAATGGAGTTCCAAAATATGGACCAGAAAGCATGGGACAGTTGACCTAGGGCGTGGGAAGTTCTGTTACAAAACAACCTAGTATTCTTTGTAGACCAACTGCTCAAATGCAGTTCAAGATGAATTAGTATGTTCAATAAAGGTGCTTACAGCTGTCCATGCAAATGTTAAATTGTATCTGCTTAAAACAACGGCCTTGGTTAATTCCAGGAATAGAAAGCTAGGTGTGAGACTGTAGCACTGGACTGCTAAGAGTGAGGTCAGTGGGTCAAACCCTGTTCAGGGTCGCTATGTTGTCACGTAACAACAATAGCAGCGACACTGTTTTGTTAGGATTCATTTTTAAGCCCAGCAGCACACACCAGTTGTCATGGAGTTGGTTCTGAAGTGTGCCAGAGGAGAACTGTGGCTGGTTTTGTTGGAAGTAGCTTCAGTAA